TTCACCAGAAGGGCTTAGCCAGCCTGCCCTCCCCAACACCATCTCCCCGCTGTGCTCCCTCCCCGTGCTTTGTCCAGGAGCATGAGCTTCCCCACCACCCTCCTGGCTGAGGACAGGGAAGCTATCTCAAGCTTTCTGCCTTGCCAGCAGCCAAACTGGAAAGTTCTTGTAAGTTTTCACTTTCTGCCAGTTCAAAAGGGCTCCCTGTAATTTGTCTTGCTTCCAGATACTGATTCCAGTTATGCCTTTCTCTGAAGTAAATGACTACCTGGCTGCTAGCCCAGCAGAAGTGTCTGGACAGACACCAAATTACTTTTCAGAAGCCAAACAGATTACTCACTATAAGCTATAGCTTCTCTCTAATACTGTCTCTAGTAAATATTCCTTCCAAGCCTTTCCTCTGCTCTCTTGGCTTTCTCAGTATCAGCTCTTCTTATCACAGCATCGTACTGGAAACTCATGTTGAGTTTCTTGTTAGCTTATAAACCCGAGGTATCACCTAGTCATTGTCTAGCAGGGTATTAAAAGTATTAGAAACATTCAAATTTTGTTTAAATGTGCTGTGCTTGTCAAACTAGCCATACCGTTTTATAGACCTGTCCTCTTCCGTGTTTCCTGTTACCCTGGTCTTTGTGACATCTGTAAAAGCTGTTGGTAATGATCAAAAATGTCCAAAAATGACCAAAATTACCTCCATCAGTGAGGTAAGGCCAGATGCTCTTTGAGGTCCTGTGATGAATTCCTATCAATCCATTTGATACCTCTGTACTGACAATAGTAAGGTATCAAACGTCTGATCAGGTAAAAAAAGGTAAAAAGCCATAAACTTCACGAAGTATAGTACAGCTCGGCCTTCACTTTTAGCAGCCAAACCCTTGATTTCATAAAAAAGAGTGAAATCATACCAACTGCAAATAGTAGGGAACAGGTAATTCAGTTAGGTTGACTCTTCTAGAGCTTCATTTTTCATTTCAGAACAATATTCTTTCCAAATATAATTTAATACAATTAGAACAATAATTTAAAGCAAATTAACAAGTAATCTTCTGATGTTATCAAAATCTGTTATTGATTTAAACCAATACATTGAATCAATTTCATTTTTGTATACTTTTTTTAATATATTTTCATTCTTGTTTGGAATGAATGATGGAGGAGATTTAAAAACAATCTGGAAAGGACTCCATTTTATAGGGCATTTCTTAACAAACTCTTCCTGTTACATAAGATGTCAGTCGGTTTGATGACTATAAGAACAAAACCATATTACTAGTTATATTTTTTCTTCAACATTACACTAAGCAGAGGAATACAAGCTTTCTCTTTTCCCTTAGGAATCAATCTACATATCTGTGACACAGCCTCTTGTTAAAACTGTTTTTGAATGAAGAAAATTACTCAGTTCATTGGAAGCTTTAAAGACAATTTTAAAAGAAATACAGGATTGGCTATTTAGGATCCTGATGATAGCAGCTGCTTTCAGTAAATGACTTCAGGAACAGTGAAAGTAAGGCACATACATAGAAAAAGTGAATCTGGAGTGGGTAAGAGACAGAACCTCCCAGAGTTTTTACTAGAGTATGTTTATGGTTTTGATAAGGGGAAATCCATAGTTAAAATTGTAATTTTAGTCAGGAGACTTTTCTTCCCCTCTAGCTGTCACAAGAAAGCATCATTTTCTTTAAAGCCAGCATTAAATTTTAGAGAAATAAAGTCAGGAGGGAGAAGGAAGAGAGGAAAAAGACCTTTTGCTTCCAAGGACAAGTAATTTTATTTGTCAAATTCAGCCAACTATTTCACCTCCAGAAATATTTTCTAAGACCTCAGAGGTAAAACTAATCTCCGAAGAAAAGGTTTGGGGTTGAGATAGATTCTGATCATGCCAAGACACACATAGCTGTATAACTTTACTCAGGTGAGGTCAGATAACTTCACCTGGTTTCTACAAAACCATTTCACGCCTCCTCTCCTCCTCTGTCGGGGGTGGACTGCACTTCCCACGTAATATCTGTATTTCCCACCAGTGCAAGAGGCAACATGATGCCCTCTTTCTCTCTTACTCCCTCCCCAGGAAAAGCAGCAGCCACAGGAGAGTGTTACGTCCCGTGTGCCATGGCTCGGTGTGAGCGGGGCACCATCAGCCCACCCGCCCAGCTGCTGGCCTGACCAGGACAAAGTGTTGAGCCTGGTAGTAAAACCAAGAGAAGAATCCAGGTCTCCTGAGACATGGTTTAACAGGCCATGCTGCCACCACCGTACTAAAGTACCATTCCCACTCAGCCTTCAACACAAAATCTATTTACAGGAGCTGTATCAAACTTAGCTACTTTTCTTTCAGGAGCTTGTACACGTGATCAAAGTGCCATTCTCCTGTTATTTTTCCCTCTGAGGGAATTCTGAGGGGGTTTTGCCTCTCAGCAGAAACACACCCCACCGCACCTGAAGGAGATTTTGGACACCCAGCACTTTGCACGCAGGCTGCTGAGTTGCTGGTCTCCATGAGCTTCTTCAGCAGCCCATGTACAGAAGTAGCAAAACTGCCCCCGTTGGCATATTAAAGCAAGGAATAGGCTGAAGCCTGCCTACGTTACAGCTTATGGTTGAATTTGAGCCTGTTTCTGAGTCATCTCAAGACTATTTGGAGTCTCCTGAATCTACCACAGCATTGACATTTCAGCAGTTTCACTGGAAGTCTCAGAACAAAAGAGGTCTTGTGTGTGTCACCCAAAAGATGACCCAGTGTCAGCCCTGAAGTGGTCAGGCAGTTGGATTAGATGGTCATTGTAGGTGCCTTCCAACTGAACTATTCTAACAATATCAGGTGTTGTTTAAAAGAGCAAAGGGAGGAGGAGCCAGGCCTGCATTGCCCACTAGTCTAGAGGGGGTTAGAAGGACGAGAACAGATCTGGGATTCAGAGAGATAAGAAACAGCAATGAGGGGCCTCACACAAACCCTGTGTTCAGCTGGAGGGTAAAGAAGAACCACAGTCTGTCCCCATCTTGCTTTAGAGTTGTGGCAGCTGGACAAGAGGCAACACGGGATGGCTGGAGGACACGATCCCCCTCTCCCTTGCCACCTTCTTTCCCAAACTTCACACAGACCTTGGCTTTCCACACACTGCAGGCTACAGTTTTCAATGGGTCATGAAAAACCCATCTTGAGATGCAGTCATGCAGAGAATGGATGTGAGGGAAAGAGAGAGGGAGATGAGAGGTTGGACAAAAATGAAAAAAATACACCTCTTGCATGAACATTTGGAATGTTTCAAAATCATAAGAAATGTTTGAAACTGTAGGTGTGTGTATACATGCACTTTAGCTAATGATTCTAGCAGTGTTTAAAGCATTTGCCACAGAGAAAACATAGGTGAGGGGGATACTGAAAAAAGGAAGAAAAAAAAATAGGTGTTTTCTCATACTTATTTTTTTGATCATGTAATCAAGAGATGGACCAAGAGGAAACTGAAGCAAAAGGCTAATGTAGGAACTGGTAGGAGAGCGTTCCATAGCTAGCTAGACCCTCACAAAAATAATCTTAGGAGGGCAACAGAAGGAGAGAAAAAAGGAAATACATATGCACCAGTATAATCCATATATGCTAACTTTTAGGGCTCTGGCTAAGTTTGAATTTATTTCCAATGCCCAGGACAGTTAATCAACTATCGCTGTGAGTGACCAATGGCTTAGAAAATCTCTGCCTTTGCAGCTGTGTGTGTGTCAAGTATGGAGTCTCTCTTCTTGCAAGATAAATACAAAAAGAAATGAAATCTCTCTGAATAGGCATGGAGGGCTATAAAAATTACAGCATCACAAAGCTGGAGCAAACCAGTTTCTCCACATTGATCACAGGCATCTTTATTTCTTGCACTGACTATTAAAGGGGATTTATTTCCATTTTTCAAGAGTATTGTCCTGGTTATAATTCATCTTTTGTAAAGTACCTCATCAACAACTTCACCGCCTCTAGTTAACTTCCCCCAGTATGAAGTCTGCCAGTTATTTCACCATTCTGCAATTGCTTGACCCTTACCATACACACTTTACTAACAAGATCCCTTCCAAAACCTCCCTTTTTCTTTCTATGTAGAAGCTGATTTAATCTGAGCAATGAATACTCCACAATTATATTTTTTCAGAATTTTTTGCAGGATTCAAATGGACTGTGAAGCAGAAGTCCAAAAAGTTGCATGATTTCAGTCCCCTTGGTTGCTCATTGTGGCCCTGCTGATTTGTACTGTCCAGATATTTTTATAACTTGCAAAAGGAAAGGAGAAAAAGAGAGAGAAATCATAGTGCGAGCTAAAATGCACACCAATACACAAGTGTAAGTACAAGTGTAAGTACAAGGTGCATTTCACCAACAGTGAAAAACTAACACAGATACACAGCTTTCTCCTGTTTCCTGAAAAACATCAGGACAAGTGGACCTCTCAGCATCTGCTTTGCTTTTTCCAAGCCAACACCAACAACTGGAGTTAAACACCACTAGACAGAGAAACAACATCCCTTGCTGTACATTAAGCATTTCCACATATTTTTATCATTTCTTTTTTTTTTCCACCTTCTTAAATGAGCCACTAGGTGACAAGGCAGCAATGTATCAGTGTCCACACGACTAGACGCATAAGCCATCCCTCCGGGACTCCTCATGGGGGAAAAAAGCTGTCTTGCAGAAGTTTCTTTCTTCCACTTGAGCTTTCCCCAGGATGCGAGCAGCCTCTCATCCCTAGAGGGCACCCGCTGAACGCAGCTCCGGGGCACAAAGCGCCTTTCCCGCAGGCTGCAGGATTTCTCACTTTTAACCAGCTTCTGCCTTTTGTCTAACTGCACATCCAGGCAAACCACTGTGACTGAGAAGGTTTGGGTCATTCCAGCTGCTTTTTCCAGCTCCTCATATATGCAGACCCAGAGAGCTTCCATAAGCTACCCCCTCCCCGCCCCTGCCAAATTTAGGGATGGCTGTTTGCACCTCTTCCAACAGGCAGTCCAAAGCCCCTTACCTTATGATGACAAACATGACCAGAGAGTTTCCCACCAAGCCAACGACGAAGACCACCGAGTAGACAGCAGTGATGATGATGGGGATGGCGGGGGAGATGCTGGTGTGGTTGTGCTGGGCGTCCCCGAAGGCCCCGGTGGCATTGCCGTCGTAGTCCGCCCAGCCCAGGAGCCAGCTGCTGCTGGTGCTGGGGGGACGACAGGGCCCCGGGGAGCAGGTAGAGTCCAGCTTCTCCCGGAAAATCTGTACGGGGGCATCCATAGGGGCACAGCCCCCACGGGCAGGAGGGAGACGGAGAGGAGAATGCAGACAGCAGGAGGCGAGTACGCTGGAAAGAGGCAAGAGAGGGAAAGAAACAGAAGTGTTATCACAGCCACCAGACATTAAGACCTCTGAAATTTGTACGTGTTAAGGGGAGCTCTGCTGCGATGGGAACTGTAATTTGCTAAGCAGAGATTTAAGCAAACCACATTCATATTAAATAATCACAGGTTTTACATCTCGCTATGTGATGGGTAAGTGCTGCTCCTCCAGGTGCACAAGGAAAGTTTTCCTCCACTTTCAGAGATTGCACAGAGAAACAAATCAGATGGGAAACAGCTCAGATCCACCCCCACACTTTAACCCTGTCTCTCCCATCCTCCATATTTTAAGGCAAACTGTATCCTAATGACAGGGGCTCCTTACTGCCTAAGCTCTGCTATAAAAGGGGGGAAAGAGAAGCCCACCACCTCTCTGCACATTTGCTTTGACATCCTGCCCTGAGTTATTTTTTTCCCCATCCCATACCTGCTTTCGGAGAAGAGACACATTAATGACACAAAATACCTCTTGCAGTACGGGAAAAGGAGTGGAGTCGTCAAACAGATGTTCTTCCAGGAAAAGAGAAAAAATATAAGGCAGCTCCGCTTGGCTCCTGGAAGTACCACCGACCTTCTAGGACTTTTGAATCTGAGGCACCTGCGCCTTCGGAGAGGTGTGCTGGCAGCTGAGCCGATTCCAGGGCATGAGCTGCAACGTGGTAGCAGCCGCTGCTGCTGTTCCAGCTCCCACCACTTCGCCTTTTCCCTCTCAGGCTCCCTCTGCCTCCCTCTCCCTCTGCCAGGGCTCCAGCAGCACTCTGCACTGATGCACACGTTCTCCGCTGTCTCTGTCCCTGCAGCTCAGAAGCTCACATGACTTCTGTCTAAACACCGAGAGGCAGATAAATTAAAAGAAAAGCAAGAAATAAGTTTTGCAATGAATGAATGCTTATTTTTAATATGCTTTTCCAAGTTGCCTTTCCTCATTCCCCCTGCACTCCCAGGCCTCAAGCAAAGATCCTCTCTGCCTTTTTGAATCCCACAGGTTTTACAGACTAGCAGATGCTGAATAAAACAGGGACTTTCATTTTAGATGCCTTGCCTGGTCCATCAGCTCTTTCATGCCTCAGCTCCACAATTGTGCATCCAAAACACTTCTCGCTGGGTGGCTGTGCCCCTGTTCCTTTACACCTGCAACTTGGAGGAAAGTCAGAAGCTGGCTAACAAAGCAGAGAGAGGCACCCCAATTACTGTCCTTAGTTTATTCAAGCTGTCCCACATCATGTGAGAAGCCAAGAATTCCCTGTAGCGCTGCTGGAACGCTGCTCCCTAGGCTCCAGCTACAGCCTGGTAAGGAGAGATGATGTATGCAGAAATCACATTCCTCAGAGCTTATCCCGAATACACTCCATCAAGCAGGGGTTGGGAACACCCCAATCTGTGCTCAGGATACCCCTTAATTTGCACACAGACCTTGAAAGCCCCACCAGGAGTCCCTCTAAATGACAAATTGGGAGAGGTAAGGCAAGACCCTGAGTTGTTCCCATTCCCTTGGAAGAGGTGGGGAACAGCCAGGCTGGCTGCATCTCAAAGTTTGCAGCAGGAAAGCAGGTCTCTGCAGGGAATAGCAGACAGCCGTGCCTCTCTGAGCATTTGGGGAAGCTTAGATGGCTGGAAAGGCCCTGTGGGTTTCCTTCATTCTTTTCTAATGTTGAAACTTTACTTTGTGCTCCTCTTGTTGAGTGCCTGTGATCAGGCTGCCATTTCTGTTTCTAAAAAAATTTCTTTCCTATAATTAAGATAAGAAATTATGTCAGCTGTAGAGTCAAACGTAGGAGGTTTAAAAGGTACAGAATCCCCTCTCTTAGAGGCAGAGGCTTGTGCAAACGTGGAGATGGCTTTGACTGCGGTCACTGCTTTCTCCAGAACATTAGCACCCGCTCACTATCGTCTGTATAGGGCTCTCTAAAAGTTTCACTCTTAATGAAGATGGATAAAAATGCAAAATAGCAAACATGACAAAAATGCCCCCAAGCCAAATACATTTTAAGAATGGAACACAGACCTGGGACAGTAATAATTTTGGGGAAGATAAAGTGAGATTCTGACATAAAATGTACCCCAATCCTGTTTTTATCCTCTGCAATCCATGGGCTCTTGCAGATGTACTGAAGGGAATTACTACTGCTGTATCTTTTCACACATAGTTTTTCTTGGCAATTTTCAACTTGTTAATATCTTCCTCATGCTTCTGCACATTCTGGAATTAAAATATACAGGAGAGTTTAAGGTAGCAATATTTTAGCATTCATTGATAATTTATCTCTTATAAGCAATCATTTTGTTTGGATAAGTACCTTAAATATGAGCATATACAGCCACAAAATAATCATTAAAGTGGATTCTAAGGCTTAGGCTGAAGTGAGGGAGAAAGAAGCAACAGTTTGTCACTCTGCAATTGCCACAGGTGGATCGGAAACTTCTATATGGGGAAGAAAATTCTATTATTGCTCTGCATAAATCTAAAGCACAAATGATGTAAAAAACTCAGCAAGATTAATAGTGGAGTCAAAGCTTTTTCAAGCACCAGTGGTTGGACAATACACTGCTCTTTCTCTAGCTAAATTCTGTGCTGAAACTCTCCAGTAATCTTAGTACAAAAACGATGTGCTTACAGCTACAGTCACTGACCCTTAATGGAGTGTGCATTGCAGTTGCATGGGACTGGAATGAGGTGGAGTTTGACCACAACAGTGCAAATTATAGGGTGAGCCAGTTGTCTGGTGCTTTCTCTCTGTGTGTGCTCCATGTAGGCCTTTGCAATTCAGTAAAAAGCAAGTACTTGGGCTACAGAAATGCCTTTTCTTCTGAAAGTCAAATCAAATTCATATAAACTGTTAAAAATAATATTTTTCTTCCTTATGTTTGCTTTCTTGACGAAAACTTTAATATTCAGATGATCAGCAGTAGCTGGTCTCACCGCAGGTACTGGAAACACCTGCAATAATATCAAAAGAAAAACCAAGGGCAGAGGGAGAGCCACGCTCCGTCACTGTCTTCCTCTCCTTCAACACGTAACTGCCCAGTGCCTCTGTGCCCTTCCCAATAGTCCTGTGGAAAAGGACAGGAGTCTCCTGCAGTCACGAGGGACGAGAAAGAAAGGGTTTGCAGGGCACCTAACCCAGACTGTCCACACACTGATGCCAGAAGTCCCTGTCCCCTCCCAGGGCTCGCATTAGACAAAAGGCCCTGTTCTTTCAAGGGAAAGCAAGGAAAGATTTAGGGAAGAAAGACAGCATAAAAGCACAGTCTCACCACTCAGCTACAACTTGCCTCCAGCACTGTCGTTACAAACCTGCCGCTCAAATGCTCCCTGATTTTTTCAGTATCACACTGCAGAGCCAGTGTTCACCTCACCGGACTTTGGGAAACACAACAGAAATCACCTGGACTTTTTTCACTAAAAATACAAAACTATATATCAAATTCTATATTTCAGAAACATTGTTTAAGTTGTGAATTCCAGCCCTCAAAGGTAAAAAAAAACCACATTTAGTTCTCCCATACCTAGGCACTACAATACCTGTGCGTTTACACCACCTTTGTTGTTTTCCCCAGGCTGTCTGCCTCATGCACGGATCAGCTACACAACATTGCTACATTTAAGTGGAAAGGATAACCATAAATTGGGGATTTTGTATCTGTAAAGTGTTTTCTTTCACAATCCTAGTGAAATTCTTTGAATGAATAAGGAACATGGGGGGAGGGAAATATGTGATGTTTAGCAGTAGCAGGTGGGAAGGGCTTCAGCATTGTCTTTTCTATTACCAAAAGCTAAAGTAAAGGGCTGCCCCCATCAGCACACTGCCTCAAAACCTTAACAATGTGCTGGGACATTAATTCAGCCCTGACTCAGAGGTAAGAATGAACTGCACTGAATCACCGGCACGACTCTGTGCAGCACCCGCTCACCCTGCCGCAGCAGAGACCCAGCTCCATCACTCCAGCACACGCAGGTTTGGAGTGAAAGCTGCTTAGTTGCCGACACTGTTTCCCAGAAGACCATGACACTTTCTAGGTTTAAGTTAAATGTGCAGGATAGGGCAGACCTTGAAGTTCAGCCATGAATTGTAACACTGGATAGTTTGATGCAGGATCATTTGCAGGGGTCCCTTTTTATTCTAGACTTCGAGAGGAAAGCCAGATAAGTGGAGCACGCTATCCAGATGCTTTTTTTAGTGAATAATTGTTTTAACTGCCTGACTGACCAAAGGCTACAATAACAGCGAACGTGAATAAAGGGAGGAGGTGCTGGAAACACTTTCTGGTGGCTCCAGTTGCCAGGGAAACAAAGTTCTCCTGTCTCTCTGCATTGCAAAAATGTTAGCTAGCGCTCTGCGTGAACGCAGCTCTCGGGAAATGATGTGTTTTATCCTCTTCAAAGACAGGCGAGGGAGAGGAAGGGGAAAAAGAGAGGCAGGAAAGTATATGTAATACTTCCTAAACAGTTTTTGTACGCGTATTTTGGTCATAGCAGACTAACTATTCGGCATAAGACTTGTGCTTTGTTTTTTTTACTTGTAGATGGCAGAAGTTCGTGTTACATTTTAAAATAAACTACTAGTACAGATCTCCATGGTCACCTTCAGAAACCAACCCAATGAAACCCTGAGCACGGGGACAGCCTCTGTGGCCTGTCCCAAGACACATCCACCTTCCACGGGAAAGGCCTTGGGAGGGTATGGAGAGACGAGCCACCCTCAAACTGCCAGCTGCAGGGAGGTACCGGGCTGGTGTTGAAATGTTTCTGCCCCTAGGACTTTGAAAAGGAGGGGTGTTATACAGACAAGAGCTAACTGGCAGCGAGGAGGTCAGTGACTGGGATTAAGGAGTTCAGCAGGTCGTAGCAGGAGCCCATCTGCTCTGCCCTGCTGTCACCCTGCCGCTCCCCAGCCGGCTGTGC